CATCTTCAGGAGCACTGAAGATGTTACCTAGCCAGGTAATGAAACGTTTGCAAGAAAAGAACCAAATGCAGAGAACCCCAAGGACTCCACTGTCATAACTTAGTCTCTCAGACACTAACTTGCTTTGTGCAACATGTATGTAACAATGATTGACTTTATCTGCATGCATTGGTAGGATTTTTTAAAAAATTATAAATTGAGAAGAACTTCCCATGTTTAAAAGATCAGAGTCAGAAATACTATATTACAAATTCCTGTCTGCACTCTTATTTTTTAATTTAATTTAATTTAATTAATTTTAGCAGGATATACTACTGCTTAATCACAGCCATAATGAAATCTGGATTTCTTAATTATTTTTTAGTAGATAGTACAGGTAGTCTTCATTTAGTGACTGTCTCATACAACGACTGTTCACAATTACAGTGGTGATGAAATGCGACCAATCCTTACATTTAGGACCTTTGCAGGTCTGTAAAACAAAGGAACGCTGAAGAGATGATAAGCACAGTTGTGGTTTCACTTAGTAACCACTTTGCTTAACAACTGAGTTGCCGGTCCCAACTGTGGTTGCTAAACAAGGACTACCTGTAATCACTTCCTATCAGAAAGGTCTGAAAAAAACCTGTACCATAATAGCGTATGATATTGGTTGCTGATAATATTGTTAATTCATTGGTTAAAAATACTGAAAAGCAGGAAGGGGTCTTTCTACAAAATGTGCAAAAGAATGACCTCTCTTTGTGCTTTAGATCTTGACTTCCAGAAGAGCAAGAGACTAACTCTCTGTTTTAAAAGAAAGCTGAGAATCTGGGGATTATGGCTCATTAGGAAAGGTATAAGTATATAGAAAATCATACTTTCCTGGCCCCTCTAGATTTATATAACAACAACACTGATTGAAAAATGGGCCTATGGGAAGTATCTGAAAGTATTTGTAGCCCTCTACAAATCCCATTAGCACAAGTGAAGCATGCCTTCTTTAAGCATTAGAGCTGCTGTCGCATCCTTTGGAGGACGTGCCTGTCTGCTTCAAAGGCTATCTTCAGTTGTCTGCACATCTGCACAAGGTGCTTTAAGGGAAGTGCTTCACTCATGCTAACATGCTTTGTCAAGTGTCCCTTTTAAATGTTTTCTACAGCTCTACAGAAGGGTTAGAAAATAAAACTTCCTTGTGGCTACCCCTGCCTTCTGGAACAGCTTTCCCCCAAAATCCACAAAGACCCAAACCTATGGTCCTTTCTGAAGTCCTGGGTCTTTCAGCAGAGTCCCTCTTGGACGTTGACTGTGATCAACTGATGAGTTAGGTTGTGCAATTGTTGTGTTGTTCCCCTGGTGTGGGTTCTTAATTATTCCTCCTCCTCCTCCTCTTGTTCTGAATTGTTTTGAATACATCAGTGTGTGCCACCTAGAATTGCTGCAGCAATTGAGGCAGTTTAGAACTTGACTGACTGACTAAATGGATAAATAAAACGTCATAGCCTTTCACAGTCTAATTAATGCAATGTGTTTGTAACATTTGAAATAACCGCTGAACAGTCGAAGAACCTTAAGCAAAAATTAAAAGTATAGCTCTAAGGCAAGGACTTCAATCTCTCACAGTGCACTAGAAGATAAATTCACACATCCATCCTTGATGAAAGGAGCTTTGTTTAATACTCGGAATACAATAGAAACGTTCACTGTAGAATTGTGCCCACACTTTAGAATGATAGCATCAGACTGGAACTTGACTTTTAATCTACTAAGTAAATCATCTTCATCCTCTTCTGAACATACCCGGACAGTGAAAACCATTATTTCAATCTGATTTTTTTTTTTAACGTAGATCGAAAGAAATGTATACTTCTGAGGTGAAGGAATGGATTCAGGATATGTATTTATCAATTTTGGAAATGCCATTCTAATAACGAGAAGATGGAACAACATGCTTTCATAAGGTCTACATTTAATAATACGTTTAAGGATTGAATTAATTGTATGGTTCTTATTTTTATTTTTTTCCTTTCTTTTTAGTCATAGAGTTTTTTAATTACTGCAGTGCGCATAGTTTTTCACTATATTATCACGGTTGTATTATTCTTTGTACTTCACTAATAATTTTTTTTTTAATTAAACGGATTTTTTGTGATCTCTAACTTGTAAGCAGGAAAGACTTTATCTTAGCGTATTGGTAGAACAAAGATATGCAGAGGTGAAATGAAAATGAAAAATATCATTAAGGTAGAAGTTAATTAAAGAACTTATATATGTTTACTCAGAAGTAAGTCCCACTGAGAATTCTTTCCTGTCTAGAACTGCAGGCTACAATGCAGTTGTACAGAAAAAAGAGGGAAGGGAAAAGCACATCTTCAGATTTTTGTTGTGCTCTAAGTAAAGCTGTGTTCCCATAGACTTACCATTCACTGTAGACCTTGGATGTGAAAATGAACACACATGCATGAGAAGCCAGATTTTGCTATGGAGAACGGGAGGAGGTAGCATAAAAAGGTAATTATGCGGCAGTTTCTCAAAACAACCCTGGTGTGTGATAGACATGCCACTGGCACAGCTTTGGTTTCATTTGTTTTCAACCATATGCTTCTCTTTTCCTTACAAATGCTCAGAATATTCACATAATTTAATACAGAACCAGCAGGTACTAAAGAAAAATAACTGGGCACATCCTTAATAAAAAACAAAACAAAAAAATTGAGTTTCTACAT